TCGGACGCCCGGCGGGGAGAGACGTTTCGCTGGGGGTGGAAATGCACGGATGCAACGAAGGACTCGTCAAATCGCTCACTTTTTGCTAACGGGCGGGGGGGAATCAGCCAGACGGCGTTGACAAATCACAACGTGCACGTCCGTCCCTAAATCATAACGACTATGCGCATAGTTCATTATAACATATACGCATGCAAAGTTAATCCACCCAGACGACCGGGAGCGTGACGCGTTTTCCCCAGCCGCGATGACCGTCACCCGCCAGGGTTGTCCTGCCACTGATTCTTCCGACTGTACGTCGCATTGTCCTTGCAGTAGGGTCATGATCTTGGGGACGTCGGGTTCGATGTGCTCAGCGCGGTTCTGTCAGCGTCCCGCTGCCGGGGTCAGGATGGAGAGCAGCAGCCCGCTGGGCTCGGTCAGGTCGTGGTCCTCTGGGTCTCTTAGAGGGGACACGGACTGGGATGGTGTCCCCTTTGATTAGTACCAGCTGGGCATCTCCTCGGCCATTGGTAATAATCTCCCCTTCCGACTGGCCCCAAGCGACCGTAATAACCTTGAGGTCTGGCAACCAGCCCCACATGTGCAAGATGACTCACAAGATGAGCGTCCCCGACCGTGTCGGATTTCCAACGGGGACCCGTATGACCCAGTCGAGCCTTCCAAAGCCTCAGTGGCATGAGCCTGGGTAGCTGCGGCGCAGGAGTGGGTGTACGCTAGACCCGAGCAGGTATCTACAGGCAGGACTGACCTGTGCCGCGGGCTCTCCGGGAAGGGTCCAAAATAATCCGTTTGCCGCACGCCGTTAGGGAGTTAGCAACGTAAGGACTCGAAGCAAACGATGTCAGGCACTGGGGCGGGTTCGTGCGGAAGGACAGAACGACAGTGGTTTCCCTCTCCTCCCCTGGCCAAGCCTCCTCCTCCTGCTCAGCCCTGCGCCCCGCTCTCCCGTCAGGGACCATCACCTTCCAGGTGCTCCAGACCAACAGCTTCTTCAGCCTCAGCTCTTC